TTCTGATTCGTCAGTCCATTGTATTATCTGGGACGAATCCAAAGGAGCTCGTGGCGGAAATGAAATCGGATCTGCATTACTGAAATGGGCAGATACCATCATTCCTGGCAGTGACATTGAAGAAATCATTCTGTGGTCGGATAATTGTTACGGCCAGAATAAGAATATTAGCCTTATTATGTGTTTCTTTTGGATACTCAATAAGTATCCTCAAGTAAAAATCATCACTCAAAAGTTTCTACTAAAGGGCCACACGCATATGGAGGCAGATACTGTCCATGCACAGATAGAGCGGAAGAGAAAAAAACTTAACAACATGACAATTCTATCGCCCTGGGATTGGCAGCAGTTAGTCAGACAGACCTCAATGAAATATACTGTGCATAATATGGAACTGGAAGATTTTAAAAATTTTAGGTCTTTGTACGATGTCAAAACATGTGAAAATCCACCTTTACTAATAGAAAAAAAGATGTCAACAAAGAACAAGTTCTTCTGTCAACCTGTGTTCAACTGCAAGTAAAACAGAACAGCATGAGAACTCTGTTTTTGAAATGTAATTTCCCTGATGAAAACCAGGAGATTGACCTTGTTAGGTTTTGAAGGCGATACCTTACATAGCCAAACGATTTGCAACTGGTAACACCAAGTCCAATACCAATATCACAACAAAAGTATAATGATCTATTGGCATTACTACCATATGTTCCTACAGTTTGCCATGACTTTTATAAAAACTTAAAGCATACTAGTAATACCACAAGTGAGTACCCTGAAGGAGACTTACCTGATGATGACTGAGTTTTTTGCATCTAAAATACCATTTTAGTTGAATACATAGATGTATTATTTGTATTTGTGAAGAGAATTATAAATAAAATAGTTAAATACATTTTGTAAGTCAAATAGTATTGTGTTTGTTATTGAATATCCCACATTAGGTCTTATAGTACAATAACTTTATTAGAGGGATACAACACCATGTCCATTAAAAAGTGAAAAAAAACCATAAAAAAGGTTTTTTTTTATTTTATAACAACTGCATGATCTAAATAACAATAAATAGAATGTTCTGGTAAAATATTGTTTCAACATCTCAATAAATAGCTGTGCCAATAACTTTTTTTGTTGAAAAAAAGTTTAAAACTCCTCTCCTGTAAAGTTGTGAAAATGGATATAGTGTTGTATCCCTCCGAGGTACAGATATGTACTACATTAGCTTTTATGACATCCGCTTAAATAACTAATAAAGGCACTAGAGGATTTGGTGAATAAAATTCACCAACTATTAACATAACATTTTTTTTGACATAGTCAATTAATAAAAAATTATTTCTATTATCATATATAAACTTAGCATAGATAAATATTTGCTATTTTTAAGGGATTACACCCCTAATATAATTTGGTATATTAGGGGTGTAAACGCTTTGCTATTATTAGAGGTGTTTTACCCTTATAGTCGTCCGGTGGCACAAGAAAACTTGTTTTCTAAAAGAGTGATTAAAATTTTATATAAAATTCCTCTTAGTAGCCCAGCAAAACAAACTGGGATCCATACGGGATACCCAGCGGATTTACCCATATGGACCCCATATGGAAACCGCGGCCATGATCCGGCGGAATACCGTTGGTCTTTCCATACGGGGCCCAGTTGACAACCCGTATGGGTCCCGTACGGTACCCTTATGGGTATGCCCGCCGGGTATCCGGTGATGGTCCCACGAGGTTTACCCATTGCAAATCTTGCAAAACTACGTTTAAATATAGAATCGTTTTGATCGGAGAAGTATAAAAGCAGTTCGCAAAAATAAATGAAAAAAAATTTATTTTGATTTATTTATTTATGATTAAACCAATATTTTTAAGTGCAAAATTACCTGACTAAATATTAAGTGTAAAAATAAAGAGAATCAGTTCTTCGTTTCATATGATCATACGACGTAAGCAATATATATGACATAAGCAAATTTGTAACGTAAGCAGATATATGACTATGGTGGCTTCACAGGAAATAATTTTTTTTCAGTAAAGTAACTTAAATCAATTCTAAAATCAGTTTTATAAACTTAATTTAATGAAAATAATAATAAAATATAAAGGTTTATTAAAAAAAAAAAAAAGGACTTTATTGTTAAAAAACACACAAAAAAGCATATTTTTATTTATTTTTCAAAACACGATTACTCCAGAATGGCTAATTAAAACAACTCGGTACTTTGCAATATTACTTTCTGATATATGTGAATCAGAGGATGAACTAAAATCGTTATATAAAAATAAAAATATTTCTTTTAAGCCCCAAAAAACTGAAAATTAACTAATTTCTAGGGGGGTAAGGTTCAAAAAAGACTTAGCAGTTAATAAATATTCATTCAATCATCAAGATTTTAGTTCAATCTCTACATATATATATATTGAACAATTGGAGAAAATTTGGAGGTCTAAGCATTTTTTAATGTTGAGATATCGTGTTTTGAATTGATAAAATATGGTAAAATATTCATTTTTAGATATATCGCAAATAAGTAAAAAAAGTTTTAAAAACATCCCTTTTCGTAGCTATTTTTTGATGATTGATCTTGATCTTTATCAATCCAACCTTTCCTAATTCTTCTTAAATATTTTTTCTTCAAAACAGCTTTTACGTTTTTTTTCATTTGATACACTTTCTGCTCATCAGTTAAATTTTATTTTGCAGCTGTTTGCCTGATAGCAATACCAAAAGCATTCTTCAATGTATTAAGACTTGCTTCAAATAACCTCCCTTTACCAGACAATTTTTTATTGCAATATGACACTTTGCGTCGACTTCTCAAACGTGAACCTATTTTTTTTTGAACATGTCCAACACATTCTAATTTTTCAGGTATAATACTAAAAACATCATATGGCTTGCTTGCAACAACATCATTAAAAGAAGAAGAATCACCGTCTCCCAGATAGTATTTGTAAATTAAACCATATTGCGAGAGAGAATGAGAAAAAATATTAACTGCACCAGCACTCTCCATGGCTCCTGACGACTCGGTATGATTAAGACTACACTTGTGCTTTACTTTCCATGTTTCATATTTTGTAGAACCTTTTTTATGTGCCCAAATTTGACAACCTCTACAATATTTACTCATTACTTGTACAACTAAAAATTTTCCTCTACATATGGCTGTAACAACTCCATTTAATGAAGTGTAGCCTCGTGTTTGCCTAGAACCATCGATAGCAACTTGGACAAGTGCTTCTCCTGTGTTAAGTTTTTCTTTTGACTCTAGTTTAGCAGTAAGAGCAGCCTCATTCATTGATTCTTCTGAAGTAAATTTGTATGCTTCTTTAACAGTTTTACTTATATTGTCAAAAGCATTTACAGTTAAACATGACATGTTCATAAGTCGTGAAAAATTAACCATTGGTTGGTGTCCTTTTCCAATTTCACGGAATCCTATTACCATTTTCAAGTTAACATCAAACATGTTTCTACCTTTTTTATCATTTTTAACTATGTTTGAAGTAAAATTACTGTATGTAAAAGGACATTGAGCATTTGCACATGTTAAAAAAAAAAATTATGGGAGAAACCCATTCTGCTAGAATAATCATCTGTGATGTTAACATTACTCTTACACTCAGGACATGCACTAACTAAATCAAGTAACTGTTTGATAAAATTAAAATTAACAAGCACAAAATAATTATTTGTGTTGGCATTATTTGTATCTTCGACATCAAACTTTAACTTTTTAGCACTGATACATGAAACACTTTCAGACAAGTAACCAGTTACATTCGTATCTTTAATACATTGTGTGTGCTTATTACCACTAAATTTTCTCTTCTTAGATCTTGAAGTATTCTTATAATTAACCATTATATATTTAATTTATTAACCTAAAATATTTCCAGTAAACATTGTATCAACACAACTTGTGTTAGTACAATGGTTTTGTCACAGAAAGTGAGTAATTAAATGATCGTATAATCATGCAATTTGAGTAAGTAAAACGGTTTTATTTTGAAAACTCAACGTAATTAGCCTCTAAACTAAATCTTTTGTAATTACATAACAAGAAAACATACCAAAACAGTGGTTAAACAAAAGTTTTCAAACTGTTTTTTTCCGTTGCTGTAGGCGTTGCTAACGAAGCTACTTTGTGACATACCTGCAAAATGCAAAATAGTAGCCTAAAAAATTTAAATTATTAAAAAATAATTGTACCATCATTTTCAGCAATGTTTAAATTCTCTAAAATTATATCTTTCAAAAAAAATTTTTTTTTTAGATTTTGCACTTTTTATTTCCTGTGAAGCCACCTTAAGCATATTGGTTAGCCAAACCTAAATTTAAAAATCTTTGAAAAAGTGACCGACCATATTATTTACATTTTTGTTTAAACTTAATGGAAAAAGAATATTAATTTAACTCGTTATTTGAAAAAAATTTTTTTTAAGTATAGTACAAGTACAATACAAGTATAGTACATGTTTTTATATTATTAAATTGCATAGTTGAACATTAAGTTCAATATCTGTCCGTTTTCTCTAACTTATCATTCTAACATGACTTCTTGATTTTTACGTATTTTACTTCTGTTCTTCACAAAACTCACTTAGTTGTATACCATGGAGGTGGATATAGACGCTCGGTATGGAGCTGAATCTGCTTTCCGCAGACTTTTGTAAACAACCTCCATATATTTAAGAAGTTTAAAAACGTCTGGAAATAAGCCAGACTAGGTAAAACAACAATACTAAATATATGTATGTATATATCAATACTTTTTGTTCTTTTTCATCAGAGTAAACAATGATTGTCAAAAGTTGGATGAGGCATTTAAATTCACTTTCATTGGTTTACAAATAGCTGTAGAAATATATATATATATATATATATATATATATATATATATATATATATATATATATATATATATATATATATATATATATATATATATATATATATATATATATATATATATATATATATATATATATATATATATACTTTTATTCATTTCATCAGTCTTTTATATCAGTTTTTGGTTGCGAACTAACGTAAAGATTAAACCTATACTCTGTAGCATACTACAAGAGGAATTTAATTTAATTTCTAGTGTGTCTAGTTCGTTCGACATGAGGTGGCTAAGAATATATAAAACTGCAATTGATAAACCAATACAAAGACACTCTGGAACATCAGTTAAACCTTCAGACAATGTAATGTTTCCTGAAGATAAGTTTACTAGGATTGTACCATTTGCTACGCGACATTCAAACATTAAATTATAACTTTCTATATCTATAAATCTTGATTCTCGTCCATTTAAAATAAACAGTTGCATAACTGACTTTTTGCTTCTAGATGTGCCCTCATAGCAAATACTGGACTTCATTATTGCCCAGTCTCCTTCTATTCCTCTTATTAACATCGCTCGCTCGACAGCTGGGTTGTAACTAAAACACGTTTTTGAATCAGATATTTGTACACTAGATGGAAAAGAAAACCAATCAACTGTATGCGATGTTGCAATGATTGCTCCGGAATAATCATACAGCTCTATAACAACAAGTGAAGGATCTTTTGAATGAACTACTTTCCATTTTAATTTTAATAATTCTGTATCAAATGGGTTTAGTTCATTAACACAATATTCACAAAAATATCCAGAATAAAAATCCGGCGTCGGAAAACACGTTTTTAAAGATTTAACAGCATCTTCTAATTTTGACTTGATGACTTTATAATTCCCTGCGGTTTTAAACAAAGCGTTTGATTTCAGTAAATAATTGTCCATACTTGTTGATATAATACAAGTTATTGATTCGTTTAATTGACATTTTAAGGATATTTCATACTGAGTAACAGCAGTCGAAACTTTGACAGGTATTAATTTTCCGTAGAATACTTTATCAATCGAAGGATAAGTGCAATATATATAAACTTCATACATAAAGTTTGAATTTAACTGAAAAGCATTTTGACCTGAAAGAAAAATAACAATTATTTTATAATAATCATTTTTTCCATTATTTTTTATTTTTTGGGGTAATTTTTGAAATAAAAAATGGGGCAATTTTTGAGGCCTAAATAAATTAAAGGTCAAATCTTTGTTGCATTATACCATGAAGTAGCTTTTAGCTAAAATGTTTCAAGTTGCTTTTCTCGTCGATTTTATTTTTAAGCAAGTTAAATTTTTGAGCATTAAAAAGTTGGGTCACTTTATTTTTTAAAAAATTATTACTTTTAAAATGGTTGCTATCATTTCACTTGCGCAAGCGATAGCTTCACCAGAAACTATATTTGTTATATTGCTTCTTCCACTTGGCATCTTCAAACCAATATTTTTTATAGTTTTCTAAACAGTAATAATATGTTTTAATTTCTAACAGTTATATTATAGCAATTATTTTACGCCTGAAAACAATCTATTTTATTCTTATCAAAATTTAGTTTCAATCGTAGTTTAATAAAGAAATGAAGAAAATAGTTAGCCGCTTTTAGTTATGTTCTGTATTGACTATTTTTTTAAATTTTAAAAATACAAATTTAACTTTTAAAAATATATTTAATTCAAATTCATTTGATTTCATTACTTAACGTACAAAAAATTTAAGTTTTTCAAAGAAAATTGCCTAAAGAGGACAAAACTGAGTTGACTAAATTAAGTTCGAGTTATCCTATTTTACCGGAGAATTTTATTAGTTTTCACTTCATTTAGTTAGATTTCAAGTTCAAAAAAAGCAATTTGAAATAGCAGTTCAAAAAAAAACAATATAAAATAATAAATTTAAAAGTTTAAATTAACCTTTAAGTTTTTAATAAATAAGAATTGTTTTGAATAAAGTTCTATTTTTCTATAGCATATACTGCAGCATGTATTTTAATCTTTGAGCGTTATCAAAAACTCTATTTGAATATATGACTTTATTTGATATTCAAAATTTCATAACTTTAGTTGCACCACTATATTTGCTCAGATTTTACCAAGGCTTACTATATTCACAATCGTATATCTGACATTATTGAGGAGAAATTTAAGAGGCCGATATTTCTGAAAAACTGGCTGCGCATAATATTACATTTTTAAAAAACAACTCAAATCTTAATTTTTAACTCAAAGTTTTTCAATGAAAAAGTAGCAGTTGGTTTTTATTATATATTTATATTTATATACTTTTTAAGTTAAAATAAGTATGAAAGATTCAAAGACATTTGTGTAATATTAGTTGTCGCAGAAGTTATTCAAAACAATATACATTTATACCTATGTATATTATATTTAACTATAATGTATATCTGTATTCATGTATCTTTTAGCGTTCTGAGAAAAATGTCAAGAAGTAAATCAAAGAAATTAAATAGCAGGTACATTTTATTAAACTATATAAACAAATGATATGCAACTGACATATTAGCAATTTTGATTTCACTTTTATCTTTGCGTCATTTTAAATGTTTTAAAGTTATTAGTGTAAACTTTCGATAGTTTTTAATTGTTATTTAAAAATACATTAACAAGAATTTTTTTTGAAAACATGATTCTCCAGCTTTCATGATTTTCACAAATAAATTTGTTTTTTGATTTTGATATTTATGTAACAGATATGTTGATGATTTAACTGGAGACGAAATTTCATTTTCAATTAAATCCAAAATAGCAAATATACTACAAACAAGTTCTGCAAGCTGTTTGGATGGAACAAATAGTCCACCACGTCATAGGAGAGATAGATAAGATCTATTTTCAAGATCAATATATCCAGTTTTCAAACATGCTTCGCAGTTTTCGCATTTAGACCTTTTTGAAATTTTTTTGCAACATAGCTTGCTTTTGCTATTGTAACTTCTTGACTATTATAATCAAGAGAACTTTCCATAATTTCTTCACTTCTATTTTCCAACAGTTCATCAAGTATTGTCAAAGAAGAATGAATATCTTGTAATAGATTTTCTTTCCAGAGGTTTATACGTTTCTTATTTAAAAAATGACGTGAAAATATTCTTTATGAATTCAAAACTTCTCTTAAACTTACAAGAAATCTTTTCCCGCTCATTTGCCTGTATTGTAAGAAACGTCTCTCAATTGGATCACTTTATAAACAAGCTGTCATCACGTAATCATACCCATCATTTAGGAACTCCTCGACAAGCAGTGTTTGAGCACGGAAGGTATTTACAAATACTGATCCAGTTTGAGTTGTGAGGGTAAAGCAAGTGAAAGAGGCCAATAGTTGATCTAATTAGCCAGAGCTTGGTAAAATATCATTTACTAGGTTGGTTGAAAAGTTCGCGGAGCGGCACCTATGTTGCAGTAGTAGAAACAAATTTATAACTGTATTAAACGTATTCATTCTTCGTATGAACGCATAAAAAATTTCAAGTCGATATGTCATTTCAGTCTTTGTTTACAAGCTATTGAAATTAGACGTGTCATAGTATTTTTTAAAATGGAAAATATTGAACATCGTGCTGTAATAAAATTCTTTGTGAAAAAAGGTTTAAAGCCCATGGAAATTCATAATGAAATGGTAAATGTGTTGGGTGATGATGCTCCTTCAAAAACAACAGTATGCAAATGGGCTGCGGAGTTTCAACGTGGGCGTTCAAGCCTTGAAGATGACCCTCGCTCTGGACGTCCAAAAAGTGCTACTACTGAAGAAACGATTAATGCTGTGCATGACATGGTTATGGATGATAGACGATTGACCAAACGTGAAATTGCTGAGGCTGTGGGCATCTCAGATGAACGGGTATTACACATCTTGCACGATGAATTACGTCTGAGAAAGCTGTTGGCAAGATGGGTGCCGCATTCGCTAACTCTGGATCAGAAACGCACTCGAGTAAAACTTTCTCAAGAACATTTGGCCCGTTTTCAAAAGAATAAAACAGATTTTGTGCGTCGATTCGTAACCATGGATGAGACTTGGGTTTACCACTATGATCCGAAGCTGCGACAACAAACTGCAGAGTGGACAGAACCCGGTTGTTCAGCTCCGAAGCAAGTGAAGGCGTCAAAATCGTCAAAGAAGGTTATGGCATCAGTTTTTTGGGATGCGAAAGGAATTTTATTAATAGATTACCTTCAAACCGGTAAAACGATAACAGGTGAATATTATAAAAATCTTTTGGACCAGTTGGATAAAAAAATTCGTGAGAAAAGACCTGGTTTGCTGCATAAAAAAATCATTTATCACCAGGACAACGCACCTGCTCATATCAGCGATGTTGCAAAGGCGAAATTGGTCAAATTAAAGTACGAACGCTTGGAACATCCACCCTATTCACCAGATCTGGCTCCGTCCGACTTCCACCTCTTTCCACATCTCAAAAAATTTCTACGTGGAAAGCGTTTCTCATCACATGAAGAAGTCATTGCAGCCGTAAATGGGTATTTTGAAGGCCTTCCGGAATCGCACTTCAGAGATGGGATACATGAATTGGAGAATCGTTGGAAAAAGTGTATTGCTCTTAAGGGAGAATATACTGAAGAATAAAGTCATTTTTTGAATCATAAAATTGTTTTTTCATTTCCGCTCCGCGAACTTTTCAACCAACCTAGTATTATCTCCTAATACAATAGCATTGTCAATAATATTTGGTGGAAACGTTTGTTCAGAATTAGAAAATGTCCACTAAGTGTTAAAAATAGTTAAAAAAATTAAAACATATTTTTGATTTGGATAATAGCTTTTTGAAGCTGCAATTTTAGTTTCATGTATAATTGCTAATGCAAGTGGCACACTTTGTTTATTATTTACAGGATGTAATACCTAACGTATAAACTCTGGAGCTTTTCTAAGCTTACTTTTCGATCATTACCATTATGGTAAATCTTGAATAAAACATCCCAACTAATATATACTTATAAACAATTAATATTTATATATGCATTATGGTATTTAAAGTCTGGAAAAACAAATTTTTACCATTTAATAAATTACTTCTGAGGTTTTCGAACAAATGCGCACAATCACAAAACAAATATGTCTTCTTTCCATGATTGAAATTTTTAAAAATAATAAAAAATATAGCGCGCTACTTTTTAAAAAGGCTTAAAAAATTATTTACATCAAGATTTTAAAACAAAAGTACCTACTAAACATATCGCAAATTAAAACTATATAGAATTATTTTTAAAAAAGTGAAATTGAAAACGTAAGTGTGTAATAATAAAAAATATAGCGCACTACTTTTTAAAAAGGCTTACAAAATTATTTACATCAAGATTTTAAAACAAAAGTACCTACTAAGCATATCGCAAATTAAAACTATATAGAATTGTTTTTAAAAAAGTGATTAAGAAGAAAATGCGAAATACATGTTATGTTCAGCTATTTTAAAAATTAGTCAAAGATCAACAAAAGGGTTATTGATCCATTTAAAAACTAATCATGGCACCGATTTAAAATCAAATGTTTTACAATAAGACGGAGCTTCATTTTCAAAACAGCATGAATCAGTTTAACTAGAGTCTAAAAATCGATGGTAGTAAAATTCTCAGATTCTGTAAAAGCCGATAAAATGCAAAAATTTATATCACTAAAAAAGCAAAATCAAAAGTTTTCAATAACGTTTGACGAATGGACATCCTAAAACTGTCAGAGATACCATAACTTAAATGTACATATGGGTGCGAAACACTTTAATCTTGGATTGATTTGAATCCATAGATCGTGTAATGCAGAATATTGCATTAAGTTAGTTGCAGGAAGGCTAAACAGCTTCGATATCAACCTCTAAAAAGATATTATTGCCATGATACTGATGGAGCAAGAATGATGGTGAAAGTCAGAAAAATGATATCTTGCTATCATCAACTATGTTATGCTCATGAAATACTACTTGCAGTTATTAATATCTTATAGAAGAAAAACGGAGAAGTCGAAGAATCGTTTACTACAAATGAAAATTGCGAAAAAGAAAATAAACACGAGAACACTGATGATGATGAAGTTATAAATAAAGAATATGTTTTGACA